GTGTGTATATATATATATATATATATATATATATATATGTATGTATGTATAAAGTGCCACATACAAATAATTAATTAAAAAATATATATTCCACTTCAGGTTTTAATATATGTATGCATATGTATGTCTTTTTGAATAATTGCATTATTTTGATTTAATTGTTCATATTAATGGAATCACTGGAATTGTGTAGGTAATATATAATATAATAATAAATAAAGAATATACTTAAAAATAAAACATGTGAAATTTGCATTTATAAAATTTATTTAATAATTTATATAATATTATAATCAATAATAATAATAATTTATATAATTTATAATAATATTTAATAATTTATTTAATATTCATGATTTCAAATTATAAAAGCACTGAAAACGTTTGTTTTTTATTATAACCTGTTTTAAGAAAATGTAACTAATAAAATTGATTTTTACTATTTTTTAAATTTTAGAATCAATTTTAGAATTATAATTATTTGAAATCCATCAAATAATATGTTCAAATAAAATAAATTATTAAAAAAAAGGATTTCACCCGGAAATATAAAATGAATTTTAATAACGATAAATTATGTAAGATATAAAATTATATATTTATGATATTATATATTTATATATACAAAATATATAAATTATAATTATATATTTTCCATATCTTTTCTATGAAATATATTTTTAAATTGTATCTATGTTAAACATTATTTTATGTAAAAATTGATTAGGTAGTCATATTTCAATAACACCGCAGATGATAATTGAAGCTGTAAAAAAGACTTCAACTACTTAAAATTTATGTTCCATCAAATCTTATTAGTGAATATTTACGTCATTCCTATCCAGTTAAAAGTAATATAAAAACATTTAACGAAGAATTAAAAAAGAAGTTAAATTGTGCTGTACGTGTTGGATTAATACTAAAACATGGGGAAGATTCGTATTACTTACCTACTTTAAGACAAGAAGCAAATACACTCAAAACAGCATTTACTGCATTTTGGGAAATATATAAAAACGTAATCATAAATATTACTAGACATTTTGTAAATTTTACTTATATTATGTATATTTTACTATTTAAACATAACTATATTATAGTTTATGTTTTATAATGTTTTAATTTTTAAAAATACTTTAATATTTTCAGTGGTCTAAGTTCCATATTTCTCAAACCAAAAAATCAAAATAAAAATCATTCTACATTAAAAAAACGAACCAAAAATATGAAATATTTCAAAAATAATGACAATCATAGTAAATAAAAAATATTTCAAATGAAATATTATATATAAATAAATTTCTTTATTAATAATTTTAGTTTATATTTAAAAAATAAATATTTTATTATAATATGACCATGATTCAATAATGTTATAAGATTTTTTAAAAATGTAATAGTTTTTTTTTTTGACTGTACTTTTGTTTTCTTGAACTATTAAATTTTCATTATAATAATTACAAATAAACAATTCATTGTGTCATTTGTAATTTTACATGATGCTGAAATATTTTATATTTCTAATTATACAATATATATAAAAATATGCAATTCATAAGAAATATATCGAATATTAAAATTACTTATAACTATTATAACTATTATTCGGACGCGATAATATATCTGCTCTTAGATCTAATTTTATAAAATGGATTTTAATAAACATAGTAAGATAATCACTTGGTGATTGATTAATTACTGTAATTGCACATTCTCATTTGACATGTTTTTTAATTTAACGTCAAACTTTTTTAAACATTAAATGATAAAAAAAATAGAAATGCTTAAGATTTTCTTCCTGAATATTTGACTTCTAAATATGCAATAAGATTTCCGCAATCGGAATACTGAATAGATATCATAATGAATGATTAAGCATAGAAAAACGATTATTTGGATCATAACATAATTCATATAAATCATCATCAGCGGTAAAATATTCAGAATCACTTTCAGCTGAAATGTTTTTATCAAATTTTGAATATTTTGATTTTGTTCTTTGTTTTTTAAGTAAACTGATTTTATTCTGAAGCATATATGGAAACATTGGTTTAATTTTTAATAAAAACACATTAAGTAATCTTAAAAGACTTGGAGATATTTGAAGAACAGCATTTATATATCCTTCAATATCATTGCGTGTTCTAAAATTATTACTTAAATTATATAATAAAGTACCATTAAATAAATTTGCTATTTTAATTTGTGGATAAGGATATCCCAAAAGTGCATTTAAATTCATAGTATGCTTTAAACAATTCTGAAATTCTGCAAATATGTGTACTGTAGCTCTATTATATTTTTTTGGATTTATATATAATTTTTTGTCCATATTAAAATGAGTGATAAAAAATGATGCTGCTAATATACAGTCATCATAATCAATTTCATTATAAGCTTTAATAATTGAATCATTTATTATATTGCTTGGTTTAAAATTATTTTCTTTTCTCTTTTGTTTTATATTTGCAATTATTTGACCGTATTTATTTTGAAAAGTGTACATAACTCTGTGTCTTCCAATTTTAGAATCTATTATATTAAACAACATAGAAATAAATATAGAATATAAATAACATTTATAAGACATAGAATGGTCTTGTTGTTGCATCCAATATTTTATACATCCAACATATAACATCCATTCTGATGGAAGTTCATATATACAATCCATATTTGTAATTCCTAAAGTATTATCTAAAATCTCTTTTTGAACAACTAAAGAAATTTCTCTAAGATTGAATAAAGAAGGAAGTTTACAAATATCTAAAGTTTCTGTGCCATATAATTTATAACATATGATCTTTGTGTTCTGCAATTTACAGTTCATAATTTTATTTTGATTTCTTGTCATATATCTCATATAACATATTTTATTGCTCATTCCTGATTTCAGAATTCCAAAAATTACACTAAGAATTTTTGAACTTGCTATAATACTGGGAGGATAACGATAATCTTCTATTTGTACAGAACATATATATAAATGTCTAATTATTAAATCTATAAAATATGTTGGAAGTCTAGCCATAAGAAATTCGTTATAAACCATTCTGGTAAATTGCTAATAGCTTTTTTTTTAATATTGATTCAGATTCATTGAATGTATTTATTATTTCAATTTCATTTTCTTCTTCATTTTCTTCTTCACTTGTTTCATTATCTTCTTCTTCTTCTTCACAAATTTCTTCTATGTATGTCAATGTATTAACATCTCCATCAAACTTGAAAGTTCTATTCAAATAATGAATATTAGTATGAGTAATATAATCTTTTGGAAAACCTAAAGGAACAAGTATTTCAGCAGATACATTTGTATAACCATTTATGTTAATCTCTATTAAATTTAATATTTTTTGCCGTACAGTTTTAGTTAATCTACTTAAAATTTCAATGATAGCTTTGTTTAAAGTATATTTGCTTAACCAGGCTAAAGTTGTTTCTATGCGACACTGTCTATGATTATGTTTTTTTCTTGATGCACCTCTTAATTTCAAGTGACGAAAAAAGTTCTTAAAAGTATTTCGTTTTACATAATCATTACCTAATAATATTGCAGCCAATGGTAACATTGATTGATCTAATCCTTTAAAAGATTTAAGTAAATTTTCTACTTTATAAATCTTGCAGCGTTTCACATAATAATTTCCAGTTGAACTTTTAATTACATAAGTATCTAATGTGTCAAATGGTATGTATAATGTTCCATATATGTAAAAATCTGAATCATAGCTAAGTACTGGACAATTCAAGATTCTTGCTACTGCTGCTATATGATTATCAGCTTCAAATAAACATTGTACATGTCGAATATTTTTTTCTGTCATTATTTCCTTAAAAACTTCTCGTATTAATAAAGGAAAAAATTTCATTCTCTTTTGACTGAGTGGACAAAAAGAGCATGCAATACGAATTTTTTCTTTAGTTCTTCTTATAGTAGTTTTAAATTTTTTATCTTCATTGCCGCCATCAATTAAAACTAAAGGTGTCACATTACATTTTAATAAATCATCAAAGAAATTTGATATACATTGTGCATAATTATCATAATCACCACCAAATGCACAATTACACTTTGCATATAAATTATATATTGAACAACAGACACTATTTCCATCAATTACTAAATATGAATTTTGTAATTCATAATATTCCAAATAACGATCTGAACGATTGTTTATATAAGTGGTTAAGCCAGGAATTCCCATTATATATTTTTTTATTTTCTTTAAATTTAAAATTATAAATTGTATGCAAAATATTAAAGATGTTTTTTACATATTATGTGCAAGTTTTTCTATTAGCAACATAGGTTATGTTGAGAAAAAAAAAAGAAGAAAAAATGAAAAGAAAAATTGTATTATTTATGGATATATTATTATCATATTTTTATTTAAAATATAATGTTTACTATTTTTGTTAAATTTCCTTAAATATTGTTATAATTATACGTAAATAAATGAAGAATTATGTATTTAAAATTTACATTTATAACTTGTCATTGCATTTTATGGACTTGATAAATGCAAATGAAACAATTTATGATATTATAATGCTTTAAAATTGAAAATAATATAAATAACACAAATTTGGGGAAAAAATAAATGAATTTTACATGAAAAAAAATCTTAAAACAAGAATATTTAATTATAATAAATACACACAAATTATATTATATCTTTATTTTTATGTACACATTGAAAATATAATTATTTTATAAATTAATTATAAATGTAATATTTTAGGAAAAATATTAGTATTAAAACTTAATATAAGTTTCATATATTATAAAAAATATAATTTTATGCTTTTATGTTCTTTCCATTATATGAGAAACATTTTATTGGAATGATTTATTTTATAAAATCCATTCTTTGGGTTTTCTATGTATTATTTATAATTTTGCTGAAAAAAGATAGATTTTATATAGATTTTTAAGTGTTAATTTAAAATATTAAACAAAAATAATAAAAAAATAAAATGCCAAAAGTTTAAAAAAATACAAATTAATTATTTTAAAATTATTATATAATAAACAGATGAAAATTATTATTCATTATAGGATAATAGATAAACATAAAATATGCATGCATATTGTAAAATATATTGTATAAAAGCTCATGTGAAATCTATAAATATGACTATATTTATTATTATTCTATATAGTTATTGAAAAATTATTGAAAAACTTTAGAATATTATACAATTGTTACTTGATTTAGAATAATCATTTATAAAAGTTTTATCCCTTTCATCCCATAATGTAAGTCCATCACAAGCACAGATTTTTTTTGTATTTTGAAATAAACCAGATGAACGAGCAATAATACCACAAGCCAATCTAAAATATATAAATATAAATATTACAAATTATAATGTATATATATTAATAATAATATATAATATAATATATGTATATCAATTATTTTATCAATTATTTTATCAATCATATTATTTACTTATTTCCACTATTTCCATCTATTTTAGATTCTGGATTAGTTCCTCTTCCCAAATCATCTGGTTTTTCTGTTATAACTAAAGATCTTCCAATAATATCAGCTATTTCTATAACTTTATCTATCATTCTAAAAGTAGCTCTACCAAAATCATTAACCATTATATTTCCTAAATCTCCAACATGCTGTAATAATATTTTTTTATTTTAAAATAATTCATTATAATTAATGTAATATTATAATTATATTATAATATTAAATTTTTTTGCATATATAAATTATAAATTATAATATTTACTCGTTTAAATATGTCATCTTTAGGACCACCATGTATTGTATTATTTGGATTAAAATGTTCTCCAACACTAAAAATATAACATAAAAAATTTAAAACAAAAAAGAAACTTAAAATATATATGCTTACCTATCACAACCTTGAGAAATATCACCACATTCATGAATGTGTATACCATGTTCACCAGGTGTTAAACCATCAATTGTTCCATCTATAAGACAACCATCAGGAGTTTGTGCAAATCTTATTACCCCCATTATTTTATTATTTACAGTATATCCTGAATTTCCTCCTAACATTGTAACAGCACTAGAAGTATCTATATTATAAAAAATTATGTAATTTTTTATTTTATAGAAATGAAATATAATACATTGTAAAATATTACCTCCATATCCTTTTAAAACAGCTTTTTTTCCAGACTGTTCAATTTTTTCTTGAATTATAGAATATGGTAAATTTGTTTCAACAATAACATTATTATTTTCTAATGATATGTCAATATTTTCAATTCCATCTATACTGGTTAATGTATCGCGTATTAAATCAACACATTTTTGACAAGTCATGTTTACTGCAAATTCAATCTAAAAGTGTACTATTTTAATAACATTTATTTTTTCTGTATTTCTACAATTTACCTTTGTCGTAGTCATATTAATTAGCAAAAGTATCAACAAAAAGTAAGTTTTCCTGTTATAAAAAAAGATAAATTAATCTTCAGCGGTTTAAGGTTACGTGTTCCGTAATGTAATATGATAAAATGTAATATGATAAAATCATAAAAAACTTTCATGTTATATGTGTTTCAAATCATATCGATAAATAGATGTAATAATATAATATAAAATATAATATAATATAATATAAAATATACGAATATAATCATTTTTATGTAAAAAATTCAATAGAAATTTTTATTAAAACATAAAAGACAAAAATTATTTCAAATTATATCAACAATAAAAAGAAAATGTTTTTTTGCATGTTTAGATTTAAAAATATAAAATTAAATGTAAAAAATATATTTAAATTTTTTAAGTAATAATAAGAATACAAATTTTTATTGTATAATGAAAATAAAAATTTTTTACCGTTAATTATTTAAATTATTTAAGAATAAGTTATAAATTTATTATTTATTGACAAATATACAATTTTTTTATATTTTTATTAAAAATCTTTTGTATTTAATATTTTATACAATTTTTACTAATACAAATAAGTAACAGATTTTTAATTTTATTAGATTGCCCTATCCTGTATATTGTATTATCCTGTATATTTTGCCATAATAGTTCACGAATTTGCCACTGGTACGCTCTTATCCCAAGCTTTCTATTTTAGAAATGGACATCCACCGTAATTTATTTGTAAAACTAGAAATTTTACAAAGCAATTGTTAGCAAAAATTTGCTATATTTAGAATTTTTTCAGTAAATATCAATTTTGATAAAATAAAATTGTGATTTTTTGCATTTTTGAGACAAAATTACATTAAAAGTGCTTCTCTGCTTTAAGGATAAAGATATGATACATTAATGAACAACTAATACTGGTACAAAGCCTAAAAGTTTCAAATGAATATAGTAATACAAAAGAGAAAGGTAACGGAACCACAAGTTAAATAAAAAAGAGTAAAAAAACCAATAAATTATTATATTATCTATTGTGATCTTTCGACGATTGATTCTATTTAAAAATGTCCGTGACCTTTGCTCAACGCGGCAGGCCACCACCGAATCCTGCTCAAATACAAAAGGTAGTGAATTACGTATTATTATTAATATAAAATATTAAAATATCATTTTTATTCTGTATAATATAATGTAATTTATATTTATATAAATTGTATATTAAATAATTTGTTTATAATAGATGCTTGATGAAAATAGTCAACTAATACAGACAATACAAGAATATCAGAATAAAGGAAAACCTCAAGAATGTATACAGTAAGTATACATAATTATAATTAATTTCAAAGTATATCCAAATTATATTAATATAATCATTATGATTTTTTTTTTAGATATCAGCAAATGTTACATCGGAATTTAGTATATTTGGCATCCATTGCTGATGCAAATCAAAATATACAAGCATTATTACCAGTAAGAAATATTCTAAATATTTAAAAATATTTCTAAATATTTAATTATTAAGTGATTAAATATTTAAAATAAAAGTATATTAATATTATTTTTGCTTTTTTAATAAGCCTCCACAAGGAATTCCTAATGGTCCTCAACATGGTATGATGAATCCACAAGGTCTTCCTAATGCTCCTACAGGATCAAGTGGACCTGCAGGTGATATGCCCCCAAATAGTCAACCAACATTACCAATGTCAAGCTTTAGTCAAGGGCAACCAATGTCACAAGGATATCGTGGTCCTGTTATGCCTGGGCAAGGACCTACTATAAATAGTATGTTATAATATAATTATATTTAAAAAATTTTTTTATTCTTATAAATATTATTTTTTAATTTTAATATTCTATTATTTCAAAGGACCACCTGCTGCACCTGGGCCACAACAATATAGAGGACCTCAAGGTTATCCTCAACAACCTTCTCAACAAACTTATCCTGCTCAGTATGCTAACCAAAATCCTGGTTCTAATTATCAAGGACCACAAGGATCAGCATATACTCCAGGTCAACCAAATCAATATGGGCCACCAAATACTTCTCAACAACAAGGATATAGCACATCAACACAACCTAATTATGGTCCTCCAACTACTGTGAATAGTTATGGTCCTCAACCAGGATATCCACCACCAGGAACAACTCAACCTCCTACAGGATATGGTCCACCACCACCACCAAATCAACAAGGTTATCCTCCTTCTAATCCTTCTCAACAAAACTTTCCATCAAGTGGCAACAACAACCAGGACAATATGGTAGTCCTAGTCCACAACCAAATTATCAACAACCTCCGTCTCAAGCTCCACCTCAAAATGCATATGGAGGTGGTCAACCTGGAAATTATCCTCCTCCTTCATCACAAGCATATGCAAATAATGTTCCACCTCAAAATTATCCAGCTCCTCCTACATCTAGTGCTCAACCTCCTCAAGCTGGATCTCAACAAAATACTGGTCCTCAACCAAATTATGGTAATCAACCAAGTCCTGGTCCTGGTGCAACACAATATGGTCCAGCTTCTACATCTCCACCATTCAGTACTGCTTCTGCCAGTGGAGTAAACACCTATGCTCAGAGTAGTCAACCAACTAGTACACCATCTGCTTCAACTCAAACTTATCCACCAAATAGTGCCCCACCACCTACTTCACAAGGTGGAAATTATGCTCCTCCAGGTCCTACTCCATCTGGATATCCTGTGCATCAAACACCTCATCCATCATCACATCCACCACATCAGCCACCACATCAATCTCCACATCAACCTCCTCATGCCCCTCATCAACCACCACATCAACCCTCTCATCAATCAACTCATCAACCTCCTGCACATCAGACACCACATCAACCACAACAGTCTCAACAACAATCTCAGACACCACCACAATCTCAACAACAACAATCTCAAAGTCCTGCTCCTAGTGGATTTCAACCACCTTCAGGACCTCCTCAAGGTCCTGCTCCACCTCCAGGACCACAACCGCAGCCTGGATATGGTCCTGCTACTACACAGACATATGTACCACCAACACCAGGAGGACAGCCACAGGTATTAAAATAAGCTGAAAATATTAAATTATTTAATTATTTTTGAATTCTTATTAATAGAAATATAGCAGAAATTTATATAATAAAGAAATTATATTAAATTATAGGTATATACTCCTCATCCACCTCAAGCTGGCCAACATTATGGACATCCACAGTATCCTCAAAGTTATCCACCACCACCAGCAGGGCAAGGATATCCTCAATATCCACCACGACCACCTGGTGGACATATGCCTCCTCCCCCAGGTCCTCAAGGACCTCCTCCACCAAATCAATATGGAGGTTATGGATATCAACCACCTCCACAATAGAGTATACATTAATGTAAATTCATTCTAATATAAAAATGATTTAACTACAAATTGAAAACAAATGATATATAAAATTTTAATTTAATTCTTAATAGCATATCGTCCAATGTTATATAATGAAACAATAGAAAATATATATTACTAAGGAAAGGTGCTGCTAAAATTTCATTAAGTTTCTAATAATTCGAAATTATACTTTCGATTTTTTCAAATAAGATATGAAATATGATTTAATATTATAAAATATATTTCAATATACAGAAAAAAATGTATAAATATTGCAAATTATATATTTAAGAATTTTAATTTCAAAAAACTTTAAACATTAAATTTTTAAAATTTCATACATTTATATTATAAGTTTGAAGAATTATTAATCTTTATTATTTAATTTTGGTATTTAAATATAAAATATATTGCTTAGGAATGTATGTAATTTGAAAATTTTGGTATGTATAAAATAATGTAATCATATCTATCACATCAAGATAAAATGTATGAAATATAGTACAATATGTACTTTCTATTTACAATTTTCATTGTACACATTTGTTTTAGAATTATTAATTTTTTATTTACTTATCTAGTTTTAGTTTTTAATTAATTATCATTAAAAAGTTTTGAATCTATATAATTCTCATTTTTTTCTTGAAGAATTCTTATCATTTTTATATACATGAAAAAGAATTCTCATTTTGATAGCAAAAAATTTATATATATATTTTTAATTATATATTATTTTTGTTTAATTTCATATAATTACTTTTTATTATTCATACAATTTTTGTGTATAATATTTCTTTTTTGTTTAATTAATATAATATATCATTTAAATAAATTTAGATAATTAAAAGATAGAAAAGATTTTTATAAAATAACATATTTTCAAATAAATTTGTAGAATTTAAAATAGAGTCTTTTAATATTGTAATAATATGAATATTTTATCAAATTTATTTTTTCTCTTTTATTTATTGCAAATATTTGTCTATACTGTTATATTTACAAAAAGCTTACAAAAATATGAAGTAATTATTCACATAAAATCGAATATAAAATATAAATTATATTATTAAGCATTGAATTAACATATTATAATTCCTCTTTAATTTTTGTAACATCGGCGTTGTAACATTTACAAGAATGTTTCGGTTGCAGCACTTCTTCCATGTTATGTAAAACTTCAATTTTACTCTTTAAGCGTTTACTCCATTCCTGAAATATAAAAAAAACATGTTATTCTAATATATATATATATATATTAGAATATATATATATTAAAAAAAAATAAATAAAGTTGAATTTGTATAGTTTTAATAGAAATTTCTCACATGAAACAAAGCCACATGATAGCATAATACATTGTGTGGCAATAAATTATCTCTTGCAAATTTTCTAGCAGATTTAACAATTTGTAATGCTTCTTGGTCATGTTCTTTAGCCCACATAATTCTTTCAATAAGATTTGATAAATCACTTTTAACAGATATATAATGTTTTCCAGGTATAAGATCATTGTAAAAAAATTCATAGTATTTTGAATCTTGTTTTAATACTAAAGAATCTCCAGCAAGTAAGTATGGAAATCGATATGCTGCTACTGTACCATCTATATTTAATTGATACTTGTACTGCACAAATATTAATATTTTTGAATTTTTTAATTTAAATTAAATTATATGTTATATGAGTTTATTTATTCTTACTTTAAAAAAATTAAAGAAAGATACATGACTTTGGCCAGGACCATATTTATCCTTTTCATCTTTAAAGAAGAAGAAATTAGTAATTGAAACATTAAACAAATCAGGATATTTTCTCGAAATATCAATTAAATCAAGTCGTTCTCTGCGGGAATCTCGACCGCGCCAAAATACTTTCTCTATTTTTTCTTTCCATGGTGTATCTGTACTACCTTGTACAGATAACATATCTAACATTACTCTGTAAAATATAATATTATTTTATGTATAGTATTAGCAATTATAAAAATATTTAATACATTATATGAATTAAAATAACTATTTATTTATTTGAAACATGATTAAATTTATACCTTTCCATTGCTTCCAATGATGATTCTGTGATATCATAGGTTGGCATAACAATGTCTTTTGTATCAAAAGAACCACACCAAGAAAATATAGGATAATTTTTACCCTCTTTTGGAACAAGTGGCCAATCTCCCAAATTTACAAAGAATTCAATGTCTGGCAATAAAACTTTACGAGTAATAGATAAAAGAATAGAATCCATAAATATTTTGAAGCCTACATATCGACCATAACATTCCCTAAAAATCTTATTTCATCCAGTTTAATTCAAATATAATTTTAAATCAATTTCAAATTATAAGTTGCAGTATTACTTACTCTGTTAGATTGAATTATATAGTGACATAAACTAACACTTCCTGGTCGATCATATGCTTTTATAATACTTTTACGTATTTTATCAAAATTTACATTTGTGAAAGAAATAAGATCATTATGTATTTGTTTGTAATTCTTTAAACAGCCTAAATCATTTAACCAATTATTAATAGAAGGATTTGGACAATAACATTCTTCTTCATAAATAGGCCCTAAAAAAATTTTCATTAAATTAATTATATCACACAAAAATTAATGAAAAAACTTATAATAAATTTAATACCTTTAAATTCTATTGATAAAATAGATAAATTATTATGTTTCATTTTTATTTTTAATTTTAAATTGAAGCATGTATTATGTAATTTATATCTAACAATAAAACTTCCATCTTTACAATCTAAAATTTGTGTCCATACATGACATGTATATCCTATTGAAGTTTGGCCTTGTATAAAAACAGATATTATATCTTTTCCAGGTGATTCTGTTAAACTTAAAAATTCTTAAATTAATAAAAAATTATATATATATTATTAATTCTGAATGAAATATAATTATATAAAAAAATATAACTTGAACTAGTTAATTTCAATTAGCCAAATTAATAATATATTTATATATTTTTTAAGATATAGATATATGTAATAAAAATGAAAAACATACTTTTTTCCTTTTAAATCGACAAATTGTAAAAAAATATATCTTGCTCGCATTGTTATTTTATCCGGTTTCAATCCTGGTCCCCAGAATATTGTTTTTGATGGATTATTTCAATATTTTTGCTTTCTTGACAAATAAGCAACAATAAGATCGATATAAATATCATTCTTATTTCGAATAATGATAGATAAGATTGATAGATATGCGAAATACACAGAAATGCTGTAAATGTAATTCTTATTTATTTATATAAAAATTTATTGACAAAATTTAAAATTAAAATGGCATTTTGTATATTATTCTTACATTAAATATATTTATTAAATAAGAAAAAATTGATATAGAAATATATTTATCTTGAAATTAGAAGTCGGTTATACAACAATAGTGTTTTTGAAATCGAAAGATAATTAACAAAAATCTGAAGTTAATCGAAATTATAACTTTTTTTCAGTTATGTTATATGAAAATATTTTTTTCATAAATAAATATGAATACATAAGGGAAATACCTTTTAAAAAATTGACAAAAAAATGAAATTAACTTGATTTGAATATATTTTAGTTACTGTCAAACAAGTATTGCTTCATGATAGCCAACATGTAAAGATCTATCTATCTATATTGTATCGCAGTTATACATATGATTTTCATTCTTAGGTTATCTTTATTTATGAAAATGGTAGTACTTACCCTGTATATAATTTGTAATTTATAAAATAATTAAGTAAAATGCATAATAGGAGCATAAATATCTATTATGCTATGTGGGCGTATCGAATTTGTCGCATAGAAAATTCTCTTAATTTTCAGGTGGGAATCTCTTTAATTTGCGGAATCGTCAAAAAGTAATAAAAAAAAAAACATGATTTTCGATTCTTTGAGATAATAATACTTTCAATTTGGCTTGAATATTTAAAAAATTAGACATAACATAAAAGTTTATTAGTAAAACATTTTTAATAAGCATTTAATGCAGAATGGAGTGTAATATTGATGATTTACCAGATGTTGTATTAGAATATATTTTAAGTTTAATTCCACCATATAAAAATCTTCAGGAATGTAAACTTGTATCCAAAAGATGGTTCCGTGCTACCAAAAGTATGTAAAATTTTGTTTATTGTAAAAATATATCTATATCTATCTTTTAATTGTTAATTTAAAAGTCATTTTAAAAGTCAATAAAAAACTTCTATTTTTATTATAGATGTAATACAACACAATAAAGCACATTTTCATAAGTCTGTAGCTTATGGATCATTGCTTTGGAGTCCATGGCCATCCAAGCATTGGATGCCTACTATTGCAAAAAGACATTCGCATTCTGCTTGTACATATGAAAATTCCATGTATGTGTTTGGTGGATGTACTGCAACATGTACAACATTCAATGATTTATGGAGACTGGATTTGGATACACGAAAATGGATCAGATTAATCACAATGGGAACATATCCATCTCCTAAAGCTTGTGCTACTATGTTATATTATAAAAAAGTTTTATTTTATTTGGAGGATGGTCTCATCCAGCATTATATTCTGTACATCAGGTATATTTGATTAAAAAATTATAATTATATTTAAATTATAAAAATATAATAAATAAAATAATAAATAAAAAAATATATAAATAAATGAATAAGTAAAATTAATTATATAAGAAAATATTTAATATTTTATATTATATATATATTTTTAGCAATCAAAATTATTCAATGAATTACATGTATATTCTATAGAATCCAATAAATGGATTGCTATAAATACCTTGGAAACACCTCCACCCACTTCAGCACATTCTGCTTCAATTCATAAAAATTATATGATTGTTTTTGGTGGTATATGTAATGGATATAGGTATATACTCGAAGTTGTTGAATATCATTTAATAAACTATCTAATTTAATTTAATAACAATGCAATACTATTTTGAGACAGATCCAATGACATATGGTGTTTGAATCTGGATTCATATAGTTGGCATAAGCAACCTACTTCAAATTTAAAGCCACAGCCACGTTATGGTCAATCTCAAATAGAGCTTGGAGACAAGCATCTTCTTGTGTTAGGTAAGACTTCTAAGATAATTTAAAAATACTATAAAAACTTTTTAGATTTTATTATAAATATTTTAATATATTAATATGAATATAAATATATAAAGGAGGCTGCACTGGACCTAATGTTGCTATGAATGATGCCTGGTTACTAAAAATGGAAGGTGCAATATGGACATGGAAAAAAGTAAATATGCACAATACAGAATGGGCTCCAACACGCATTTGGTGTCACCAAGCTTGTAAGGTAATAATTTGTTAATTATAATATAATTTATATTATTTTGTATTCAAAATATTTTTTATTTGATAGGTGGGAAATCATATTATTGTTCTTAGCATTAATAAATGTCAAAATAAGCCAAATGATATGAGTATATCGCTCAAAAAGGTCACTTGTCAAGCAGCATCTTCAACGAGAACAAATAATTCATCTCCATTACATGGAAGGTTTGGTTACTTAAGTTTATTGTTAATACTTATTTTTTACTTATATATTTGTGAAGTTAATTTTAAATTTATAAATTATTATTATTATTAATTATAAATTATTTTTAGACAAGGAAGCGTATCTCATATTGATAGAGATGTAAACATTAATGGACGACATGGATCGTTCTCTGAAATATCTATACAAAATCCACGCCCTCCGCATCATCCTCCTAATTTTACAAAAAATTTAACATTATGTTATGATAATATGTTAAGTATGACGGCTTTTCGTAATGAACCAGTGCGTTATGACATTAATAGTCATCGACAACGACAATTAGAATCTCTTCGTAGAATGGAAGAGAGTATTAGAAATCGAAGAGCACAATCGAAATCTGCAAAAAAGACAAAAAATACTTTGTCCATATTTGTGTTAGACATTACGAATGTCTTATGCGAAGAATGTAGTGCTTCATGGATTCCTTTAAAACATAATGATCAATCGGGTCCCAATGAAAGAATACTTTATTCGCTCGTAGCTGGTCGCGGTGAATTAATAGTATTTGGAGGTATTGGTAAAGAACAAGCATCTATACAAAATCATCCTGACATGGATGAGCCTGAAGTTTATAATGATCTCCATTTTATAAACCCACCAAGATATATTATTTAATATCTTGTAGCAACAAATAATACATCTATGTTTAATTAAGAATAGTTTAATTCTGTTAGCTTTGATTTGATTCTATTATAAATTATTTACTAAAAATTAATTTAACTGAAAAGTAAAAAAGTGATATTATTAAAAATTTGTGAGAAAATTTTATGATAAATAATTTTAAAGTATTAATTTTATTTTTGCCAAAAAAAAAATCATCTAGAAAAGTTAATTTTTTGATCAGAAATAATTATTATAGTTGTACAAACAATGTATATCAATTATAAAATCTTATCATTTCATTGCAAGTTTTATTATTTACATATTTTCCAAACGATATAATTTATATATTAATCATCTTCATCATCAGTTGTTTTTAAACTACTGAACACTTGTGACGGAATAGTTTGTTTTTCAATAGGTATATCTGAAACGAAAAACACATATAAAAAATAGAATATCAAATATATGTGTCGCAATTAAAGTTCTTTAAAGCAATTTGTAAACATATTACACGTGATAAAGAGTAATAAAAATTTTAATGTGTTATATATTGTATGTTCTATATTACCTTCTTCTATATCTCCTTCATTAACATCATTAATATCAATATCTATTTCATCCGGATTATTTACTTGAGATTCCGGTTTACCGTCTTTTTCTGTCACACCACGAACAAATTTAATACTATCCTTATATGTAGTAATATTATCTATAAAATTTATTAAAATTTATTAAAAATCGAATATATATATTATTTCAATAATAAAATTAAAATCTGTACCCTGTGTTTTACTATCCAAAAGACGCATTGCATCTGTTGGTACATCTGATATTGAATTCGATGTATTATTCAACATTTGTGCAGACATCATATTTACTTGAGTGTTGTACATAGCTTGAACACTACGTTTAATTCGAAGCATTTCACGCATAGTATCTTCATTACCATGTCTTACTTCAAATTCTTTCCATATTTGCCAAAAATTTGATGCTACCTAAATAAAATATAAAAATATATATAAATACAATATTAATTTCAATATTATTATTATCATTCAATTAAATAATATTTTATACTCTTGGATCACAAATTTGACTGCAATGAGCATATATTGCCCGAGCTCTATCAACTTCTCCTAATTTTGTTTCCATTTCTGCAAATCTTAAACACATTTCTCTTGTATTATCTTCATTAAGTACTTCAATAGCTTTTTCATATATCTGTCTTGTTTTTGGTACACCGTATATATCTGCTGCTTTTTTTATATATATATTGAACATCTGTAAAAATACATATTAAATTTTTATTAAATATAGATTTATATAAACATTATTTTTTATTGAATATTTTATTTATTTTTTATTCTTAGTTTTGAACATTAAACATAACATATTAAAATATAGGAATACATATAACATGTTACAAAATGTTTTTAATATATACATTCATAAATGTATGTAAGTATACATGACCTACGTAATAGTGAATAAAATTATAAATTATTTTTTCTGAAACTTTTACAGATATCACATGATCTTTATTTTAAATCAAATAATATCCAGGAGTCATTTAGGATGAAATTTACTACATGTACTTAATGATATAATTGATATATTTAAATACATGTAAATTGTTATATTTTTTACCTCAAATCTTTCTTCAGGAAGAACAGCATTTGTTGCTCGTTCATATACAGACATTGCATGTCTAGCTAAACCATGTTCCTCTTCTAATTTTGCATACAGTAAATATAAAGCTGCAAAAAAAAAAATTAGATAAGAGAAGAAAACATTATTTTTTATAATATAATAAGATATAATTAAATATTATTTGAAAATACCTTTAGCATATTTTGGTGGACAAAATTCTAAACATTGTTCAAATAAATCTCGCGTTCGTTCTAATTTTGTTCCACCATAACGCTTTAAAAATTTTGTAAGATATGTATTCCATATATCATAAACGTTAGGCCATTTAAAGAGTGCAATACCTTTTTCATAAGCCTAAAAATAATAATTAAATTATTAATGAAGAAAGAAATGATTAAATTTCAATAATATTCTAATATC